GGTTCTATAGGGATTATAGGGATTATATAGGGGTTATACAGGGGTTATAGGGATTATATTGGGTTGTATAAGGATAATGGAAATCAAATGGAAACTACTACATTAAAAATGGGTCTATATAGAGGATCTGAGAGGTCAGGCCTATGATCCTGATCCTCTCAAAGCTGGTGCAGGCAACGCAACGCAAGCTTCCACCGCTGCACTTCGCTCTGCTGGCCACACTCTCTGTGGCTGCGGGGCCCCCAGCAGGCAAAACAAAAGAGCGCAAGAGACATGGAGGGAGAGAGAGAGAGAGAGAAGATTCTACGAGACAGTTGCAAAGGGTAGGAGAGACATGTGCGACGACCGTAACCCTAGTGTAAACTCGCTTGTTTGCAGCCGTATAAAAACGAAGATCCTCATGTTCAACTCGCAGAGAGCCGGGAGGGACTCGCGCGAAGGGGTAACACCCTCATCCCGGCAAGCGCAGCAAAAACACGAAGAAGAAGACAAGAATAATAATAATAAGAAGAAGCAGAAGATTGCACCCGTTTCAGCAAGTTGCTTTGCCTAGGAGCTGTTGGTTTTCCCGGTGCTGGCAGCTGGCTGCGCTGCCTTGGACAGAGCATGTAGGGTCAGTCGGCAAGCCTTTAAAGCCTCAGTCTTGCATTCAAGTATATTATTTTAATATATACCTGACTATACTATAATTTGCTGTACTATACTGTAGTAATCCACCATACTACACTATAATATACTACAGTATACTACAATACACTACAATATACTATAATATACCATATAATATACTATAATATACTATTATGGTGCGCAGGACTCTTCTGGGTTTCCAGGACTACCGGGTCACATCCTTTTCTTTCAGGCTGGCACTGTGGCGCATCAGCTGCTCTTGAAGACAAGCAGCCTGGGATGACAAACCTGTGAGTTTCGCACGGGCAACATTTGTGGTGACGGCTCACCAAAATCGAATCCGAAGTAGTGAAATTTGTAAATATGACGCCGGATTCCGGTGTAGCCTCCGGCCTGCCTTTTGTGCAAGGCAGAGTGCCCGAAACGCCATGCCGCCCTCCGGTCAAACACAGTCTGCGACTGCACCAGGACGTACCGGAAGCACCGTCACTTAGATTTGGGCAGCGCGTTCTTCTAGCGGGTGCAGCTTTCTTGGGTGCACGGGTCTGCGTTCAGCGCAGGGCAGCGAAGTCAGACACATTGACCTTGGAGCCGACCCGCCCTTCACGGAACGCTTCACGCAAGAACCAGGAGCAGCCTGAGGGACCCCTCAAGGGCGACGTGTTTCTGATCCAGACGCCACTCATCTTGCCTTCCCCTTTGCCTTCGTGGATTGCGAAAGCGCTGCCGAAGCACTCTGTTGTTCTGGCAGGCATGGATGGAGGCTACGCAGCCTTTGACTTTGTGCCTGCGGAAACTGATGACCCTGGTGCAGCGCTGCAGCTGCTGCTCGGTGGCTCTGTGGAAGGCCTCTTCGGGGTGCGCAGGCTCAGTGGTCTGCCGCGGGGTGCTGTGCGCCTTGGTCGAGTTGCCGAAGGCGCCACAGTGGATAACGTGCTCAGAGTCAACCAAAGCTTTGACAGGATGCTCTCCCTGACGGCCAACGACTGCAACAGCTACTCACAGAGCGTGCTACAAGCAATTCTCGAAGAGCCGGATAAGATGGTCCAAGAGCGTCTCTTTTCCACGCTTGATTGGGACGAGATGCAGAGCAGTAGCCGGGTTCAGTACAAGGAGCCGTCCGTCACAAATGCCGTGGTCCTGGTGGCTGGTACAACAGTGGGCGCCGGAATTTTAGCTCTGCCCGCCGTTACCCAGCCTGCCGGATTCGTGCCCTCAACTCTAGCTTTGACCTTCTCCTGGGTCTACATGGCAGTGACTGGCCTCTTCATTGCAGAGGTGGCGTGCCGAACGATGGCCTCCACAGGCAAAAGGGCAACATCACTCCAGTCAATGGTAGCTGGCTCCATTGGGCCTGCAGGCGCATGGTTGAGCTCAGCTGCCTTTGTCTTCCTGCACATGGCGCTGCTAATTGCATATTGTTCGCGTGGCGGAGAGCTGCTGACATCTTTGTTTCTAGGCTGATCCTAAAACTGACTTGTTGCAAGAAGTTCGTCCATGCTTGGCGTAGCTTAAGACCTTTACCATGGCTCTACTGACAACAGTGTTTGCAGTAGTCGTCACGATGCAAGGCGGTGCTTCTTGCTGAGGCTTCCCATCCTCGGATCCGCCGGCGTGCCTGGTCCAGCTATCTTCGCCGGCCTCTTCGGCGGCTTCATATTCTTGACGAAGGGAACAGACGCGTTGGACCAGGGCAACAACGCATTTGCAGTTGTTGTGGCCATTTCTTTTTTTGCCTTGGTGGCCTTGGCAATACCAGCAGGTGATGCTGCGCGGTTGCTGGCGGTGGCTGACTGGGGCAAAGCTACGGATACTGTGCCTACTCTACTTCTTTCTTTGGTCTACCACAACGTTGTCCCGACGGTTTGCGCGCAGTTGGAGGGTGACCGTGGCAAAATCACAACGGCCATTGTGGTGGGCAGCCTAGTGCCATTCCTAATGTTCGTCGTTTGGAATGCTGCTGTCCTTGCGACTCTTCCGGTCGGATCAGCTGGAGATCCGCTAGAGGTGCTCCGCAGCACCGGCAGCCCACTGGTTGCAGGCGGCATCTTAACATTCTCTCTTAGTGCTATTGTGACGTCCTTTGTGGGCTTTGTGGTCGCCCTTACTGATTTCTTTGCGGACCTGGACAACCGAACAGATGACAGCTCTCTGCCCTTGAAGCTCCGGGACTTTGCACTCACCCTGGTCCCTCCAGTCATGATAGCCTGCTTGGATCCGAGCCTCTTTTTTCAGGCAATTGACAAGGCCGGTGCCTTTGGCGTCTCCACGCTCTTCGGCCTTCTTCCTGCTTGGATGGTACTTGCGAAGCGATCCTCGGAATCGCCGGTGCTTACCCGGGCAACTGGACTGCATCTGGTTCTCTGCAGTTTGCAGCACCTACTCCCAGCAAGAACATGTAGCGTAGGTGTTACATATGGTCTTGGTGACTGTACAACATGGAATCTCCCGGCATCTTGAGTGATTATGAGAATAGCGACAAGAGCAAGAATACGAAGGAGAAGCAGAGCAGCAACAGAAGGCTACATGAGCGGAGACAAGATCTGCAAAATCAGCAACGCAGAAGAGCCAGAGGTAACCGTGACAGAAGAGGTGTCTGACAATCAGACCTTCGCATATGACGTAGCCTCTAGCAGTGCATGCCACGATCCAGAGAATTCCGGTTACGCCCCGAAAAGACAGTAGGTACGAAGGCCTGCGCGCGAGCTCTCACTGTTGCTTCTAGTTTGTTTACGCAGCAAGGGAGCGTCCCAGAAAGGCATGTCTGCAATGGTTGTGCCGCCACCATCCTCAGAATCAGCCTCATAGGGCTTAGGGTTAGGGGTTTAGGGTTTAGGGCACCACAGCCTTCGAATCCGTAAGCTAAGCTTGTACATGCTCACCCTGACAAAGTTCTCGGACTTTGTTTCTTGCTGGCTTAGGGCTTAGGGCTTCTCATTGTGGCTGGAATAGAACCCCAATATAACCTCAATATACTATAGTAGTTTCCACTTTCTTTTCCATTATCCCAATGTAACCCCAATAGAATACAACCAAATAATTGAATATGTAGCCTTATATAATATAGTCGTTTCCATTTCATTTTCCATCATCCCAATAAACCTAATATAACCCCTATATAACCAAGCAGAACTTCTGGTCTCCTCGCAGGTCCCTGAATTTCTTGGCGGCTACGTTCGTGGCCCCTTGGTGCCGGGGGGACCCGTGGTCCCAGCGCTGGTCGCCTTGGTCGCACTTCTGGTCGTGGGCGACAACGCGCTTGAGCTGCTGCACGGAAGTTAGCTGACAGTGCAGCCTCCTTTGTACGCGAGGGCAAGCCCAGAGATGTCCGGGCAGAGCCCTTCAATGCAAGGCCTTACATGTCATGTCATTCAACACTAATTCTTTCAATGCATTCTTTCACCCCACTGGAATGCAGATGCATTCTCGGCATTTTCGTGTGCTCGCCTTCTTATGAGGGTTTTTCGGAGCCACACACACATGACCCATGCAACTTGAAATGCACCATCCGACTGCTTCTTTTGAACGAGAGCCGATCAAAATTAGAGCTCGGCTGCTTGGCATCAGTCTTTTTCGGCGCCCTGTGCTGCTTCCCATCATGCTTTCAACTCACGGACCTGGGGGTGGGAGGCCTTGGTTTCCTGAAGAGAGCATGCAGTGAGCAGCACAGCACCTGTCTGCCTGACGTATGAAACTGGCCACACTCACTTCTTGACAGCGAAGTTTGGAATGATGATGCTGAATGCTGAGTCGAAGTTTTTCAAGCATCAAGGATTTTGTTTCCTCCTCTCTCTCTCTCTCTTTTTCTCTCTTTCTCTGTCTTACAATCAAATCGCTCCGGGCCCCCTGTTAGCTCAGCGGCTTGGTCATCCGTCATGAGCAGGCCATTCTGTTTGGGCTGATGGCCAGTGCCAAGAACTCAGGCAAGCTTGGCAGGTGCAACCATGAAAGGTGTACTTTATTGTCTTCTATTCTGAGGATATCTAAAATGAGCCTCCCGAAGCTTTCCTGTCCTGCTTGCTAGAGCCCAGGCCTTGACGTTGACCTTCCTGGTTCTCTACGATCTTTGGAGTCCCATCGGTGACATCTACAACTTTCAGGCTTGGAGTGCAAACTTTGTGTGACGAGCGCGACTTTGGAGCTCCGGACCCACTTACAAAGGGGAACCTTGATCTGAGCCTCAAGCCAGAAACCTAAGCCTGTTGCTTGGATATGAGACATGCTCGTCTTGGCGAGACTTAGTTTTTGATCGGGATTTCAGTTTGAGTTTGCTCAACAAGGTTGACGCAGAGGTTTGTGCTGCTGAAGTGGGTGCTGATTCATGAGTGTGTTCAGAGCTTTTTCTGCGTGACGTCCCCCAGACTTTGTGTACTTGAGCTGCAGCAGATGCCCAAATGCCAAACAGCCAGCTTGGTTTCAAGAGAGATTGGAGCCGTGGTGACTGTAGTGCTTAGAACGCTTGCATATTTGGTGTACGATGAGAAATGGCCATGAGTGGTCTTCGTAGGTTCAGACACTGTCCTGTACCGTCTGAGCAGCTGTTCGTGTTTTTGGCTGAGTGCTCAAGTGTTCTCTTCCGAACCTTACGGAAAAGGCATGGCTGTCGGCTCTGGCTTCGTGTAGCTTGCGAGACTGCGCGAGACTGCGTCACGCGAAGAATAAGCGTGCCTTCCACGGCTCGGTCCGTCCGCAAAACCAACGTCAAGTGCTGCAAGGCTTTGCTCCTGCAGGCCCTCCTTGTGCACAGACGGACGGTTTCTTCGCAATTCAGCTTCGCGGTGGGACCTCGAAACTGCGGTCCTGCAGCGTGAATTTCAGGGCAGAATCCTCAAGCAGCTCGAAGCTCACGTGCAGCTCTGCTCTGCCGAAGAATTGAAGAACTGCACTCCCCATGCCATCCACCCCACAGCGTGCAGTGCAACAGTCTGGGTTGCTGTTAAGG